AAAAGTACAAAGGAATTCATAAATGATGAAATTTAAAATGACGGAAATTAATGTTCTAAAATTTGTAAAGTTTCTTGTTTTGGTAACGAATTTATATACGAAATGTAACCTTTATTTGTAAAGGTTTTTATTTTATTTTAAATATTTAAACTCAATCCCTCTTGAAATTTTATAAATGAAAACCTTTTAGATTGAATTTAAAGTTGGGATTTATGACCTCCAAATTCCTTTTTTTTCCCACGCGGAATTTCTAAATTTCTATTTTAAAAAAAAAATTATAAACACAGGAATTGGTTCATGTCAATTTAAGTGGGGTATTCAATTAGGATTCTAGAGCGTTTAAAAATATTTTAAAAATCCGAGTGTATTCAATTTGGATTTATACAAACTTTAAAAGATGTTTTACAAGTCTGAGTGTATTCAATTTAGACTTGTATAAACTTTTAAAAAGTCTATACAAATATGGGTGTATTATTATAAAAAAGTTGAATAAAGTCTAAGTGTATTCAAAAAGTCATGTATTTAGAAGGATTTCATTAAGTGGTAAATTTTAGTAGGTTTTAAGGTGAGAGTTATAAATAACAAAGACTATAATAAATCCAACCTCCCACCCAAGTATTTCGTCAGGCACTAGTTTTTCTCTCTACATACGCCCTAATTTTTCTCACTATAAAAGACGAACAGTCTTCCTCCATATGTGAAGGTACACTCCCTATTTTCTCTTTGATCAATACTTCACCTTCCATGGCATGATGATCGTGGCCATTACTCTGCTGTAGTTTCATCCGCCTTCTTTCCATTATGGAACGTGATTTCAAGATTTATCATTCCCAAAACAGTAAGTGCCACCATGTTGCAAAAAGTGTTGTGACTAGAAACCCCGTTTTATGTTTTTCTGTTTGTGTTTGCAAAAACAGTAAGTGCCCTCATATTGCAAATAGTGTTGGTACAAATCATATATTAGAACATCTCAGCATCAATGCAGAAATTTTCTCATCCTTCATTACAACTTTTAGAATATATACATGTGGACACTATGTATATGCTATGAACCGTCCTGCTGCATGATGTAGTGCTTCATTTGGGTAAGGATGCCGAAGTTAGCATTCGTTTAAAAAAATATATATGTTAAAGAAATTATAGAAGTCTAGAATAAAAGCCATACAAATCTTAAGGAATTTTATAAAAAATTATATAGAAGTCTTCTGAAAGTCTATACGAAATCTAAAAGTTCCACCAAGTTCCATGAAATCTAGCATTTAAACAAAATCTTTTTAAACACTCTAGAATCCTAATTGACTTTTGTCAAAGTCTCAAGTTTATTTCCTTATCCAAACGCACTGTAAAGGAGATTTGTTAAAACAATTTGAAACCTCAAGGAATGTTAATGTAATTTCTGAACACCAAAAATCTCACGGATGTCAGTGTAAATAACTCTTCGTGAAATTGGTGGGATGTATATGCAACAATGACATGCATGCTTATGTTTTATAATCATTTAAGCTTCAGCTAAATAAAATTGACGGAATTTAGCCTAAATGAAAAATGGCAACTAACCACAATGGTTAAGTTGCCAACGAGGTCTAACCTAGTGGAAAAAAATTGTAACTTCTAGGGTAGTGATCTCATGTTCGAAGTAAATAGTACCTTGGCAATATGTGTGTGAGGAAAAAAAACAAAAACAAAAAAACCCCCTCCCCCTACCTAACTTTGGGAAAAAAAAAAAAAAAAAAAAACAAAGGGGGACTGATTCCACATGGGGAAAGAAAGGAGTCGGGCTAAATAGCGTAGATAAGAGTTTTCAAGTTAGGCTTTTTTGAAAGAAAATGCCTTTTGTTGTTGTCGCGTCTTAGGGTCTTATCGGCTTTGAGGCTAGTGACCTTCTCCGGTCTGTGATGGAAGCAATCTCTCTCCGGTCGGTTCGACTGTTAATGGTTTAATGAATATCTCCTTAGGAAGAAAAGGCTCTTTGGCTCTTTGCAATAAGCGCTGTTCGAGGAATAACCATATCCGCTGCTGTATCTATTAGTCCCAGAATTTAGACCTGATTTGCATTTGACTATCTCAATTTCCAAAATGGTTTCTATGGTCCTTTAACTTCAGTTTCGTTAGGACAAATGGTCCTGCCGTTAATTTTGTTAAATTTTTTGCTAAATGCAAGGGCAAAATGGTATTTTTGTATCATAATTGATTAAAATATGAATAAAAATTTTAAAAACTAAAATATTAAAATTAAACTCTCTCTCCCCTCCTCTATCCCGATTCCTACTCCCCCAAATTTAATTTTAATTTTAATTTTTGTTGGTTTTTTATTTGATTTAAAGATATGATTATTTATTTATTTTTTTGGTTTTAATATAAAAATACCATTTTGCCCCTACATTTAATAGAAAAAGTTAACAAAATTGACAGCATGATCATTTGTCCTAACAAAAGTGAAGTTAAAGGACCACGTGAACCATTTTGGAAATTGAGGTAATCAAATGCAAATCGGGTTTAAGTTCAGGGACTAATAAAATGATTAACTCAAAAAAAAAAAAAAACTATGTACAATTGAAAGAAAAAAAGAATAAAAAATTGTAATTTAATGTGCTTTAAACTACTACGCATGAAGATGAAAAATCAGAAATTATTTGAAAAACTCTCTACCGGACTCCTCCTAGCTAGAAAGAACCCAACAAACAACAAAAGTCTAGAAAGCACAATCAAAAACCATTTTGGCAATGTCATCTAAATTTAGGACCTTCTTCCGTTTTTCTCTTTGGGCTTTCTTTTTGATAATGATCTCCCTTAATTTTTCAAAACGTGCCAATTTACCCCTTACAATCAAATTTGTCAAATTCATGTCAAATTGAGGATTGCTTTCATCCATTCCGGGGGCATTGTTAATAGAAAACTACAAGAAATTTTGACAAGTTTGACGGTATGGGCAAATTGGTCGGAAGAAAGTCATAAGTTCAAGGTCAATGTTAAATTTTTTCCAATGTAATTATATGATGACTCCCCGTTTATTCTTTGGAAGGACCAAAATAAAATGTGATGATTAAGTAGTTTTGTTCTTTTCCTATGTTATATTAGTAGCATATATATGGAAGTATGCTCTCTACAATTTGAAGATACAAACGAATGAGACTAACAATGTGTTAATCAAACCCAACTAAACTTTGGACCATTCAATTTAAAAGAATAGAAGAATACGTAATATTGAAAAATAACTTGACCAAACGCCAAAGAAAAACTAACTAACTAGTCCTTGGATTAGGTCTAGGTCTAGCCATGGGTACCAATCAACACGTATTGAGCCTACCTTTCTTCCCCATTCTCCATCCCTACCCCAATGTGAAGTGAGGTAAAGTAGAGCTCAATAATAGCATCAATAATACCCTCCATGCCCCATCTTCCATACCCCATCCTTTAATTGTAGATAATATATATACTTCGCCGAAATCTAGGGGCGCACAACGGATAAAAAATCTATTAATATAGTATTAGGAAAATTGTATTTATACTACTCCAACTGCTCACTCTACCATCCTTTTAATTAATTTCTAATTTTGCAGATGTGGATTATGACAGTTGGTCAACTTACTATATCGGTTCCTTTGCATATGAGTTCGATCCCCCCTCTCCATCCATATAGTAGTTTAGAAACACTGTAAAAATATAGTCCTAATTTTACCATTAACAAAATTCTAAAAGCTGCAAGATGTAAATTTAAATTAAAAAACCTAGCAATCCCACCTACCATGCCGTCCCCCTTTCTCTCTCTCAACCTGATTTGAACTCAACAAGTTACCCATCATTAAATCGGAAATTTTTATGTAGAAGGAAGAGAAGATAGCAAAAAGGACATGGAGAGGTGACCGGTGGAGAAGGGGTCCGAGGAAGGAGGGTGTTCTTCTTTAAATTGTTATAAAGCATTTGTTAAAGCAATTAAAAGGTCAATCTCATTATAAATTTATAGACCACAAGATGTGAGAGACGTGTATTACACGTGATGCATATGCACAAATAAGTTTCACCTATTTCAATTTCCAACAATCATGTGCATATTCTTGTTTCTTTTATTTGCATCAAATGCATCTTCTGCCTTAAAATAAGAAAAGATTTTGTGCGGTAATCTCATATATATATTTTTTTTTCTGTCTTCCCTATCCAAGATAACATAAACTCCCAAACAAACTGGCGGATGGGCACCACAGTGCAGTGGTTGGGGCTCTGCCCCTTGTTAGGAGCGGTCCTAGGCTCAACCCCCGGCATCGGCGTGTGTGTGAGTTTGTAGATATTTATCGACTCCTGTATTAGGAGAGGCCTTAAAAAAATAAGATAAAAAATAAAAAATAAAACACTCCCAAACAAACTGTGGGACTCCCAGGATGGAATCTACCTTTTCTTTTAATAATTAAAAAATAAAATAAGAGAGCCCACAATATTGACCACGGAGTGACCAACTATACATATTTAGGATAAAATAAAATAAAGAGTAAGTCATGAATTTGTGTTTGGTTCGCATTTTTGTATTTGAATTTTAAAAGTGGTTGTTTATAGCCTCTCAACTCTATTGTATTCAATTGAATTTCAAGGATCAAAATGTAAATCGAGACTAAATTCAGAGATTATTGGTATTAAAAACATGAAAAAAAACAAAGGACTTGTAACTCAAGTGGTCAATAATAATTACTTATGCACTTAATGTTCTAGGTTCAATTCCCCCCTTATTCAGTATCGTTTGTATATAACAAATCTGAAAATAAAATAAATAGATGAGTTATTTTTCCAATATTATCATGCCTTTTTGAAATTTTAAATTTTAAATTTTTTTAGGGATTTTATAAATTTTTTATTATCAACGAGGAGATCAACATCTTTATTCAATTATAAAAGAAAGTTCGTACCACGTGATGTGTTATTGTTTTCTGATTGGTTGGGGACAAAGCTTCGTCACCCGCGAGTAACAAACCTCTCCCTTCTATATAAATCGCCATTGCTTCATAATCTGTTCCCTGTCCATCTTCCTTCGTTTTGCTTCATCTTCTTTCATCCTATAATCCAAAGAGAGCCATTTTAGTGGGAAGGTCTCAAAAGAGTCTGATTTTGGGCTTTGGCAAGGTTTCTCCAACAATCCCATGGCTTCCATCAACGTCTCATGCCCTTCTACAACTCCCCTTTCACGACCTCAGTGAGCTTTCTTTCATTTCTTCAGCTTTATATCTGTTGTATTAATCTTTTAAGTTAAAACCCATCTGGGTTTTTGTGTTCTTGATGTTTTGTAGCTATTTTCCTTTACATCTTCTACATATATCTTGTTTGATTGAAATTTTCTCATCAAATGTGGACTTGGATTATGGCAAGATGCTAATGCTTTGCTTAATTCTTTGAACTTTTATTTATTTATGTTTTTAGCTGTATACTTCATGCTATTATTTATTTTTTCATTGTTTACCATATGTTTGTCATATCATATGATTTGCCTCTTAAGAACTCTTATTTGTGATTGTTGTTGTGTATGAGTAGGAATTTTCTCTAGTTGGTCAGATCCAACATTTCGATTAGTTTTAAGTGCTCAGATAATGGAAGTTACAAAATAATAATAAAAATTGGCAGCTTTGTTTGTCTGCTTAGGAAATAGTTTTGGACAACCTTCTTCTGAGAGAAAACAAAATTTTGACTATTTGTTGTGTCCAGCGGTTTCACTCAATTTGAAGGAAACAAAATTAGATAATATCATAAAGCTCTACCCATTTCTGATATACTGGCAAATAAAAACTTTTTCAAAGGCTTTGCTAAGATTGGTTTTGAGATATGAACTCCGAGGACTGCACTTTTTTGCAGAACACATATCCAAGTGGGCCCTTTAATGATTGAACGTTTCAACTGTTACGTTAATGTAATCGATTAATAGTGTAAATACAGTTGTAGTATTCATGTGTATGTTACTTTTTTTTTTTCTTTTCCTATCTCATAAACAAAGCAATATACTTGATGATTGTTTGGGCCATAACTCTTAGGAGAAACTTTAATTTATGGTAGACTTATTTTAAGGCCTGGATTATTCAACAACTGGTTCTCTTCATAAAAGATGTTCGAATACATTTTATATACTGAGAAGTTCCTATCTAGTTAATCTCTTCAACTATTTGTGTTAGCTACACAATCTACTCACACCATTTTGCTATGTTTCATGTTATCCTTTCTCTACCATTATTTTCATCTCTTGGTACTTATTGGCATTCTATTTTGTGTAGGGCATGCAAAAATTTTAAATTGTTCAATGGGTTGCATACTCTGAATCTTTCTCTGTCTAATGGGAACACGTCTAGTATAGCCTTGATCCAGATGGGTAGTAAATTTTCATTCAGTAATAAGGGGGTTTCTCGAATTAGAGCTACAATGGTGTCTGAAGATGGTGACCTTGTTTATACTAACGGCAATGGTGCAGTGACAAATAGTACTCTCATTGATGATCAGTCAGTTGGGATTGAGATACAGCCGGATGCAGTAGCATTTGGAACACTTTCAGCAGATACTGTTCCAACAACTAGTGGTTTTCCAGTTGATAATGATGAATTTGATTTGGATTGCCCCACAAAAGGATTTGCTTCCATCCCAGAGGCCATTGAAGACATTCGCCAAGGAAAGGTTGCTTATTTTATGTGCTTTTTTTCTTGTCTTACGGTGGCATGGCACTCTATGTTTGTCCACCTTTTTTTGAAGTATATTTCCATGAGTAATTGAAATTACTATTGCAGATGGTAGTGGTTGTAGACGATGAGGACAGAGAAAATGAAGGAGATCTGATCATGGCAGCGCAACTAGCAACACCTGAGGCTATGGCTTTTATTGTGAAGCATAGCACTGGAATAGTGTGCGTGAGCATGGATGGAAAAGATCTGGAGAGGTTGCAATTACCTCTAATGGTAACACAAAAGGATAATGATGAGAAGCTTCGAACAGCGTTCACCGTGACAGTGGTAAGTATTATTATTATCTGACATTTTATTTGAAAATTTTAACTTTTCCTTTCAATATTGTAATTTCATGACTTAATGTTGATCTCTTATTTGACATTCTAAGGCTACAACAGATTAATTCCTCATCTCAGCAGGGCAGACCTGCAATTTCAAAATTTGAGCTCTCCTATCTTATCATGAAAAAGAAAACAATGATAATACGCTAGTTCTCTTTCTGAAGAGACAGTGCTGAGACAATGCAGTTTGTGCGGAATGAATATGTTAGAAAATATGCCAATGTATCATAGGTTTGAACTTGAATGTTAAATGTACTAACATATATTCGAAAATCAATGACCACAACAGTCAGTACAATAACAAACCCATTAAAAAGCTTAAACTATCCGGTTTAGGATATTTACCTGAATTGTCCACTGACAATATTCCCAGTGGACTCAATTGCAGTGTTGTGCTTTATGGAAGGTTTTGTAAGTTAGTTGTTGATGTTTTTCATTTGCGTACTTATCTAACTCTTTCTCAACTTTGATTTTGCATTAATAACTTTTTTAGGATGCAAAAAATGGTACAACCACAGGGGTATCTGCAAGTGATAGGGCAACAACAGTTTTAGCTCTTGCTTCTAGAGATTCAAAACCTGATGATTTCAACCGCCCAGGTCATATATTTCCACTGAAGTACAGAGAGGGTGGTGTTTTGAAAAGAGCTGGACACACTGAAGCATCTGTTGATCTTGCCGTGCTAGCTGGATTGGATCCCGTTGCTGTTTTGTGTGAGGTTGTTGATGATGATGGTTCAATGGCTAGATTACCAAAGCTTCGCCAATTTGCACAGCGGGAGAATTTGAAAATTGTATCCATTGCTGATTTAATAAGGTAAATTTATTGCCCACTTTTGGACAAAATTTACTGTATACTAAGTTAACTGCAGTTGCTCCATGAAAGCCTACATTTTCTCCTGCGACTTTAAATATAGCTAGAATTATTTAACCTGCAGTTTTAAATGTTTAATAGCTCGATGAAAGCCTACATTTCACCTGCGTTTTCAACGCAATATATATTTATGCAATAGCTCATAAAGAGCAAACATCTTATCTCATGCTTTAACTCATCTCATAGATTCATTGATCCCTATTCTTTTTTCAGGTCAATGTATATATAAATATATGCATGTATCGACTATTTTCTTTTCAATTTTATACTTACCTTCCATCTTATTTGTTATGGTGTTGCATTTTCATTAAAGCATAAACGACTTAACTGATCCAGTGCTCGGACAATGGCAGGTATAGGCGGAAGAGAGACAAATTAGTTGATCGTTCTGGTGCTGCAAGGATACCTACAATGTGGGGACCATTCACAGCCCACTGTTATAGATCCATCTTAGATGGGATTGAACATATTGCAATGGTTAAGGTAAGCACTGTTTGTTACGTTGATATTCAATCTATTTTTAATTTGTTTATCTCAGTTACAATGTAAAACAAAGTTATTGGTTGCACTCACTTTTAATACTAGAATACTAGAGTTTTTATACCAAAAATAGTTGTGTAGCTGGTAGACAAAGTTACCTGATGACCAGAATGAAATTATGTCTGAAGCCTAGGCCAATCTGGTCCTGTTAGATCCTTCACCTGAATACGGGATCCATAATTTATTTTTCTTTTTCTTTTCAATACTATAGTAATGTTTAATTTATAACTAAGTTTATGGTATAAGCAGGGTGACATTGGGGGCGGACAAGATGTTCTAGTGAGAGTACATTCAGAATGCCTCACAGGAGATATATTTGGATCGGCCCGATGTGACTGCGGGAAACAGCTCGCACTTGCAATGCGGCAGATTGAGGCTAATGGCAGGGGTGTCCTGGTGTATCTACGTGGTCATGAAGGAAGGGGCATCGGTTTGGGTCACAAGCTTCGTGCTTATAACCTACAGGATGCTGGACGTGATACAGTTGAAGCCAATGAGGATTTGGGGTTGCCTGTTGACTCACGAGAATATGGCATTGGTGCCCAGGTACTTCCTAGTAGAAATTCTGTTTACAGGCATTTTGAAAGTAGACTGAATTACTGTTTCAAGTTGGTAACAAATTAACTGAGATTTCTTTATTGAGCTTTCGATTGCTTGGCAATCAGTGTTGATTCTGTCTGGCCTCTAATTACATGCGTAAGTTTGATATTTCGAAACGATTTATTAGCCATAGAGGTTTGGATCCCATCATAATGTTGTTTAATTAAGTATTGGTCTTTATCTTGCATGAATTCTGTTAAATTTATTGGATAGTTGAAACTCAAATTTGAAGATTTCAAAAGTTTTAACATAGAGGAGTAGTTATGATGAATATTGACAAGTCATTTGTTCTGCAACATATAATAGATCTCGTATTGCATTCAAGAGTTGAATGAATGTTGGTTTCTACAAGTTTGAAGGAAAAACTTACTCTCAGAGACTCTCAGTTATAAGGAATTCCTACAGTAAATTAGTTGAGAAAATGCTATTTGCCTCGATGAATCTTTTTATTATTTCATAGAACAGTGAACTTTATCATGTGACTATCTTTTTAAACCCCAAATACTTGAATATTCAAGAGTACCTTTCTCTTGGTAAAACTGAACTATTGGCTTATTCATTGCAGATACTAAGGGACCTTGGTGTTCGAACAATGAAGCTGATGACAAACAACCCTTCTAAGTATGTTGGGCTAAGGGGTTATGGTTTAACAGTTTCGGGCAGAATACCATTAGTAACTCCCATTACTAAGGAGAACAAGAGGTATTTAGAGACTAAACGTGCTAAAATGGGTCACATCTATGGGTCAGAATTTAGTGGCCCCTTGAGTAGTCTTATTATTGGCAATGGGAAACAGAATGTTGATTCCACAACTGATGTCATTTCAAGCTCATAAGTCCACAACTGGTGTCATTTCAAGCTCATAAGCCTGGTTACCTGCCCATGCCGACACAGTTCGTCTGAGATGCGAAGCAGAGAGGTCTTGTTGTCATCCCATAGCTTATTATGATTTGATTAATTCTTTTGATTCAAGACTCAAAACTAAATTGGGAGCCTTCCTCACAAGCGTAGTACAAAATTTCATTAATTCTGTAACTGCATTGTAATGCTAGGCGCATTCTGCAGCGTTCTGCAGCATTTTTCATTTTTTCTGTAAGTTGTAACACAGGCAGACATACTATTTTGGCGACTTATGAATTTGTTAGAATTAATTTACTAAGGTCAAGGTGTAAGAATGCACTGCATTTACAAAATATAGCATTGTTGTAAAACTTCGTAATATGTATTTTTTGTTACGTTGGAAGGAATTGAGTCCTCGACCAATCATCTCAGCTCTTACTACTCCATATTGGGATTGAGACGCCTTTAAGCTTCAATAGTAGGTTTAGCATATGCTTCTAACAGTATTATGTGCATACACAGGGCGGGATTAATACCTTTAATGTCTGCAATAGTCCATCCAATGGCTGTCTTGTATTCCCTCAGAAACCTCAACAATTTATCCTAAGTCTCATTCAAGTCTGCTGCAATGATTACTGGTAACGTGTTTGAGGCTTGCAAATACGCATACTTAAGATGAACCAGTAATGGTTTGAGTTCCAGCCTTGGTGGTTGCTCAATGGAAGGTGGGAGGGGCGGCTTTGGTGGACCAAGAGCTTCAAAGGAATGGCGCCTAATTGGATACTGAATTGGAGCTTTGTCAAGTGCGGCAATGAGCTCTAACATGTCATCTTCGCCTTTAAAGCACTCTTTTGGTCTAGTGAGGCAAGCTTGAATAATATATGAAGTTGAATTTCTCACGAACGCAAATTTCACTACCTCAATGCGAAAACACTCATCTTCATTGTGTGGTTTCTTGGAAACATCAAACAATTTAAAAACCACTGATTCATCCATAATACGTATGGTGAGGGTGCCTTCTTCAACGTCTATTAAGGTTCTAGCAGTGGCCATGAAAGGTCTCCCAAATATCAGAGGTACATCCTTGTCTTCTTCCATGTCCAAGACCACAAAGTACACTGGCAGGTAGAACCAGTCCACTTTGATGATGACATTCTCCAGAACTCCAAGTGGGTAAGTGACTGACCTATCTACAAGTTGCAAAGCTATAGAAGTTGCCTTAAGTTAACCTTTTTCTAGTTCATGAAAAACTGAGAAAGGCATCAAATTAATGCTAGCTCCTAGATCAATTAAAACTTTTTCAAAATGAGAATTTCCCATTGTGCAAGAAATTATAAAACTCCTTGGATCTAGCTTTTTAGGTGGTAGTTTCTTGAGAAACACAACGCTACATTGCACTGTAAGTATGACCTCCTCATGCTCTATCAAGTAGTGGCAGGTTAATTTGCACTTTAGTAAATGTCTTAATGAAATCCAACATTTGTTGGTCCTTAGTAGCACTCTAATGATTCTTAGGAAAAGGCAATGGCGGAGTATATGGTGGTTTTTTAGAGGGTGCAAACAAGGTACCAAAATCCCAGGCATTGCTTTCATGAGAGTTGGGCTCTTGCGTAAGGGCTCGCGCTTCCAACATAGCACTTGGCACAAGTGATGTCACGGCTGTGGCATTCGATGGCGCTTGTTGCATGCCTCTTTCAATATGAGCTTCCTCTTCCTCAAATTCAATGTTCGGCCTATTGTCAAAAGTTTTTCCCGTTCTGAGCGTCTTGATGGCCTTGAGGTGCTCTTGATTTCTTGGGTTTTGTTCAGGTTGATTAGGGATTATCCCTTTTTCACGATCATTAACCTGATTATCTGACTGACCCAGCTGAATTTCCAACTTTGAAATAGAAGCACTCTAATTTTGCAATAGTTAAGTCACAGCTTCCATTGTAGATTGCTGCCATTCCAGAGTATTTTGTTGTTTTGCCATCATTTGCTCCAAAGTATATATTTTTGCTTCTACATGGGATGTTTGAGTCTGACTTGTGCATGGCTGAAGCTAGCGAGATTGTTGTTGTCCTCCCCATTAAAAGTTTGGATGATTCCTCCACATCGGATTGTAAGTGAATGAAAAGGGGTCATTCTTTGGTCCATTAAAAGTATTCAAAGCATTAACATGCTCTTCAACAAGCTTTGGAAATGTGGCTTTACTTGGGCATTTGTAATATCATGTGTTTCTTCATTACAAATGGCGCATACTTGTGAGGTTACATAAATTGATGAACCATGCATCATGGCTTCAATCTCTCTCTCCAAACTAGCGATTTGAGTTGAGACATTGGGAGTGGCTTGATTGATTTCTAAAAAACCTCTTTTTATTTGTATTATCTTCAGACCACTGCTGAGAGTTTGTGGCAAGCATATCATATAATTCATAGACTTGTCTAGTTGTCTTTTCCATTAGAGATCCCCCTGTAGAAGCATTCACATTTCTTTTGGTAATTGCATTGAGACCATCGTAGAATATCTGCATCTAAAGCCCACTATCTAGGCTGTGATGTGGACACCATGAATAACTCACCAAATCTGTCCCAAGTTTCGTGGAATGCTTCTCCTGGTTTTTGTGAAAATGTCAAGATCTCTTTCTTCAACGCTAGTGTTTTGGAAGCATGGAAAATTTTGAGCAAAAATTCTCTTGGAGCTGGTCCCAAGTGGTAATGCTATTCATAGGCAATGAGTAGAGCCACGCTTTGGCTCTGTCTTTAAGAGTGTAAGTAAACAACCTGAGATTCACGCATTCCGGTTCCATGCCCTTAATAATTATGTTTTCCATGGCCTCATGGTATAACTTAAGATGCATATAAGGATCATCCTTGGGAAGGCCGTGAAAAGATGGCAGCAAGTTCAGAATTCCTGGCTTCAACTCAAATTGAGTTCCCCTCTTCAACTTTAGGATAAAAGATTCATGATGGTGAATTGTTAGCTCTGGCAGAGAGGGAGCTTTTCAAGGGTTGGCCAGCTGTCGGAATCGTCAATGTCATTAAGGTAGTGTGTTGTCTTGGTGGAGTAGGCGTAGAACTCTTAGACTCACTAATTAATCCATCCTTGTGAGTAGTAGAAGATGGAGCTTTGTTTCTTGCGTTCTTCTTTGCTGTTTTTTCAAGCTCAGAGTCTAAGGGACAAGATTTGGATTTTTGGATCTTGTGCTTCTACTCACCATAAACTACACAAGACACACACAGCTAATTAATAAATTAAAATTAAACAAAATGAACAAAGTAAAGTACTCAGTATAAACTAAATAATGATTGATCTTCAATTCCTGACAACGGCGCCAAAAATTGTGACAGGATTTTAGCCACCTACAAAATAGAGGTTAAAACGCTATATATACTCGCAATAGAACAAGACTATTATTAGTATAGCAAAGGTAAATATGAGGTCGTTCCCATTATGATTGAAATCAATTGAAAAGATGTATTAAATACTTAACTTGTAAATCAATGAATTATTTTTTAAGATTCAATGCGAATAAAATAAAACACAAATTGGAAAGGAAGTTTTGAAGGATAATTAATTGGTTGAGAAAATGAGGAAGACATATTAAGGCTAGGCATCCACCACAAGCAATCCAATACAGCATTTATGTTCATTCATCCATTAAGAGGTAATTCCATATTGAAGATTAGTTACTTACGTTTGTTCTCCCTATGGCATTTAGGCTAGAATAATTCCTACAACATGCAACCTCATTATGGCACTAGGCTAGATATAAACATGAAAAATACGATGAGCACAAGTAACTAAATAAATCATGTAATTCTTATACTATGGCATTTACCCTAAGTAATCACACCTTTTAATTGCAAGAAGCATACTCAAAATCAGTGTGGCATTCACTCAATTTTACATCATATAACTTAGTCATATACCATAATGGCCAGTATAAAACTCGGCAATTAAAAGTTCAAACACAAAATCACTTTAATATATGGATAAATCAATGTACAATACTATATCATCATGCTAGTGTTTGCCCGTTTTGCGTTTACTCCTGTGATGGAAGGGCAAAGTTCCCCACTGCCTTGAGAACCATAGACTGGTCAACAAGTCAGCTTTCTTTGGTGTGCGAGCATGCCACTGCTAGTAATAAAAATTCTAGCAGACTTAGTTTGGAATGGATAACTTGCGCCCCAAGTTACTGATTTCTGCAAACAAACGATTGTGAATTTGGGTGAGGAATATCTCCCAAGTAAGTTC